TTTGCAGTTTGTAATTTATTTGCAAATACATACACAGACACACACACACACACACACACACACACACACACACACACACACACACACACACACACACACACACACACACACATTTTTTTATGATTTTTTCTTTCCATTAAGGAGGCATTTATTAAATTAAAAAAAAAAAGTTAAATTGTAATTACAATTTTAAATGACAGCTTTCTTATTTTATGTAGTTTCAAATGAAATTTTTACTCTAGTCATTATTGCTTTTATTACTATTAACATTTATAATAATAATAATAATAAGAAGAAGAAGAAGAAGTAGAAGAAGAAGGAGATGAAGAAGAAGAAGAAGAATATTAATAATGATAATAATAATAAAATAAATAATAATAATAATAATGATAATAATAATAGTTCCTTAATTTTCTTTTCGATTTAGTCCCTTTATTAATCTGGGGTCGCCACAGCGGAATGAACCACCAACTTATCCAGCATATGTTTTACACAACGGATGCCCTTCCAGCTGCAACCCATCACTGGGAAGCATCCACACACACTCATTCACACCCATACACTACGGACAATTTAGCCTACCCAATTCACCTGTACCGCATGTCTTTGGGCTGTGGGGGAAACCGCAGCACCCAAAGGAAACCCACGCGAACGCAGGGAGAACATGCAAACTTCACACAGAAACGTCAACTGACCCAGCCGAGGCTCGAACCAGAGACCTTCTTGCTTTAAGGCGACAGCACTACCTACTGCGCCACTGCATCGCCCAGAATAATAATAATAATAATAATAATAATAAATATTAGAGTGATGGAAGACTGGAGTAATGAAGCTAAAATTCAAAAAATTAATCTTTAAATCACTGGAATAAATTGTTAAATTCAATTATAAACAACTTTTGAACAGTTATTTAATAGTACAATAACATTTCACAATTTTATAATGATGTGTACTGTATTTTTCATGAAACTTTTTCTCATATTTTTACATGTACGTATGCATGAATGTAAATATGAAGTCAGAATTACCCCCCCTCCTCCCATATATATGTTTTCCCCAATTTTTTTAAAGGAGAAAAGTTATTTATTAACACATTTATAAGCATAATAGTTTTATTAACAAACATCTAATAACTGATTTATTTTATCTTTGCCATGATAACGGCATATAATATTTGACGAGATATTTTTCAAGATACTAGTATTCAGCTCAAAGTGACATTTAAAGGCTTAATTAGGCTAATTAAATTACATAAATACAGTCAAAATAATGGGAAAATATGCAAGCTTGTTGCTCAGTGTAGCGATAACAACATTTCTTTAGATATAAATAACTTGCAAAGCCCTGTTTTATCAGAAATGTATGCATTGATCTTCCTAAAATAATTTAATAATAAATAAATTTTAATTTTTATGCGCTAATTAAATCGTAAAAATACTATGTCAAGTTGCACACTTCAGAACTTTAATGTATGCACCACAAACAACTGAAAACCTCGATGGAAATTCTGATTCATATTGGCTGTTGTCATTTCCTCTGTTGTCTTCAGGCATTAGTGTTTAGTTCATTTATTTTCAGAAGCTACTGGAGAGGCAGAGAAAAACATACAGTACTAAAGGCCTCATCTGATTGGTCATGCATGCAGCACACAAATGCTTCACACACGAAACTCTATTTTATATTGCGATATTGATATTGCATATACTATTATCACCATAACAATAATCTTCCGACATATTGTGCAGCCCTAATCACAATATACTCTCTTCCTGCATATTGGCACATGTCTGGCCGTGAGGCTGTTAAGTGTGAGTCTAACAATGAATGATGTGGATGGGAGGAAAGGCAATGACACTGGAGTGGAGGTGGAAGCCTGACTCATAACATATGCTGAGCTCACACACACACATCAGCACATCATCCCACGCATCCTGAACCGCCCACCACACACACTTACTAAATATATGTCACAGCTGAGACGAGATGAACAGAGAGAGAGAGAGAGAGAGAGAGAGAGAGAGAGAATAAAGACTGAAAGAAGAGGAGTAATGGAGCAGGCATGTGTAACAGGAAAGAGAAGCGTTATTCATGAGGTGAAATGTCTATAGGTTATATCTGTATTTCATCTCAAAGATAAATGATATCCTTTTAAGTATTTTACCATTTTATGAGCACAAATTACTGTCATATCAGGTCATCCAGGCTTCCAATAATTAAGAGTCTTCAGAGCACATCAAAATAAACGTTTAGTTCAGACTGATGAAATTGTGACAGAAGCTTTAATTGTGGAAATTTTTTACGTTTAATTTTCTTCAATTTTTGCTGAGATAAAAAAAAAAAATGAAATAAAAACAATTTAAAATTCACAATGAAAACAGTACATTAATATATTTATTATTATATTTATTTTTATTTTATTATTATTATTATTATTATTATTATTATTATTATCAACATTAAATTAAAAACAAATTTAAAAGAAACTAAAATTTGGCAATGAAAACGGCATATTATTATACTTATTTTATTTATTTATTTTCATTATTATATTATTAATATTAAATTAAATAAAAACTTAATTTAAAAGAAAAATAAATTGACAATGAAAAAGGTATATTATTATATGTATCATTATTATTTTATATTTATTTACATGTATTATTAATATTATTATTAATAATAATAATAATAATAATAATAATACTAAATAAAAGAAAAACTTAATTTAAAATATTCCAAAATTTGACAATAAAAACAGTATATTATGATTATATTATTTATTATTATATTTATTATTATTATTATTATTATTATTATTATTATTATTATTATTATTATTATTATTGTTATTATTATGTTTATTTATATTCATTATTATTATTATTATTCATTATTATTATTATTATAAAGGGACTAAGCTGAAAAGAAAATAAATTGATGAATTATTATTATTTTTATTAATAATAAATAATAAAAACTTAATTTAAAAGAAAATAAAAATTGACAATGAAAACAGCAAATGATTATATTTATTTACATGTATTATTATTATTATTAT